AAAAAACACAAACAAACTAGTTGAAGCAGAATCTCACAATTTCACTTACTAGTTGCTTAGATCACCGAACCACCTTCCCGGCCTTTCAAAATATTCACTTCTCATCTAGTTTCTTGAACTTCCGTATCTTACTGTATCTCTCATTAAAAAACAGTAAATTTAAAGGTGAAAAATAAGATGCTTAAGTTTGTTGTTTCGTCACGTATTACAAAAAAAAATTTTATATAGCGTGACGATTTTTACTAATAGAAGGTTACAATTGACTGTATAAATAAATAATCATTGCCAATCATATTTATTCAAACTTCAGCCAACTAAAACGAACTTCTGCTATGCTATCGATATATGAGAATTATTATTTTGGTAATTTTTAGCTTTAAAAAAATGTCTTTCATTAACATTGGTTTTGTTATCCCAGAAGGTGAGATGGAGATTGAGTGCATATATGTTGAAGAAAAGTTAGAAGTGTGTTGTTGCACAAGAAGGGAAAATGGTTAGAATATAAAGCTGTTGTATGTTTAAGAAGCAAAGGTGTTAGTTGCATAGGAACAGGGTGAGTTTATTCACTGGGTTACTGCATGTGTATTGTGTTCTGAAGTTATGCTGCTACTATCAATGTAAATTATCTAGAATGAAATCTCTTTGTGGCTAACAGTTTTGGTTGTTAAACATTCTTCTAGTTTTTGATGTTCGGCTATGCCTGCTTTAGTGCTTTTGAGTTTATGGTGAATAGGAATACATACAGACCAAGAATTGAAAGCACTTCATGACTAACTTTTTTTGTTGAATGTTCTTTTCAGTTTTAAAAAAGTTGTGACTTTCTATCACATTACTTATTTTTTTATTATTTTATACCAACAGGCATTCAGGGGATGGTTGAATTAATATATATAGGAGCATGTATAATATTTCTTTTGGTGCTTAATATAAGAATTATAGCAGAAAAATTAATAAATATACATATATATATATATATTGATTTTGGTTTCTTTCATGTATAGGCAAAAATTTACAGTTGGAATATTGTGATTATTAAAATTAAGCATAATAGTCTAAATTACTATAGAGTAATTGTATAAATAAATAGAGAGTTGTTATTTTTATCCCCATTTTTGCTAATCCCACTCCTCAAATATCAAAAAGTGCCCTGGATGAGGTATTTTATTGAGTAAATTCTTATTTTAATCTTAATAAAAGTTGTTCATTAGGCCTTTTTGGTTCTAATAGTAGTAAAATTATTAAAATTGGACCAATAGTTCCTAAGATATATATATCTGAAGTTAGTTACTTTTTATTTACTTTTTTAATGATTTTACTACCAGAAAGGCATTATGAACAACTTTTATTAAGATTAAAATAAGGGTTTACTTAATATCTCTTTTGACACCAAATTCATATATTGGGACATTTAAATTTATATATTGGAACATTTAAATTCATACATTGGGACATTTAAATTCATACATTGGGACAATTAAATCATACATTGGAACAATTTAATTTAGATTAATTAAAGCGCAATATTTCGTGATCTAGTAATCCAATTTTGATGATATTAGTACTATCAGAATCGCCTCAGTGAGAGGATTCGAATAGTACTAAAATCATCAAAATTGAATTACTAGATCACAAGATATTGTACTTTAATTAAGCTAAATTAAATTGTCCTTTTGCATGAATTTGAAAGTCCCAATGTATAAATTTAAATGTTCTGATATACGAATTTAAATATCCCAATATACGAATTTAAATGTTCTAATATACGAATTTGGTGTCAAAAGGGATAAAAATACCTCTTCCAGTATACTTTTTTATATTTTTGGGGGTGAGATTAACAAAAATAGGAGTGAAAATAGCAACTCTCAATAAATATTTTAAATTTTAGAGTCTGTAATCATCTGTTAATTGAGAGGAGCTCTTGCTTTAATATCTAACTGGATTTTAGATATTATAGTAATCTTTTTGAAAAGGTTATATTTGAATACTAAATAGGTAAATAGATATTTGTGTGATGTATATAATACTACAAATAGACTTGGAATTGTATTTACAGATTTAAATAATATTTATTTAAACATAAGAAGGGCAGTTGCTAATCAATTTAAATTTTATTTTTCTTTATATTTATAATTATTATTTTTGTATATATTTTTATTTTGTTTATCTAAAATTGCTTGACAGAAGTTTTCATCATTCATTAGGCATTATTGCTAAATCTCATAGAATTCACTCTGTAAAGTTGTTATGGGGGCATCTATAAATAACATTATGTTTGAGGGGGAGGGGGTCCCCAAAATATAATGATTTTCCAATATTTAGAGGGGTCCCCCAAAATATAACACAATTTTTTTATAAAAATTTGTCTAAAATTTGATCCAGTGGTCCAAATTGGATGCTTTTGGTACTGTTCGGATCGTCTCGAGGAGAGGAGTCAAATGGTATCAAACTTATTTGATTTGGATCACTAGATCATGTTTTATTAACAGAATACTATTGGTTATTATGTTTTCTTATAAAATTACTATAAAATCAATAGTATTTCATTAATAAAATATTATTCAGTAGTCCAAATGAAATGATTTTGATACCATTGGATTCATTCTACAGAGACGAATTAAATGGTACCAAAATCACCCTGATTGGATCACTTGGTCATAATATATTCAAGTTTTTGTAAAATTTTATATATAAATATATAGATTTTTAAATTTTTTTTATATAGTCTAGGGGGGGGTCAAGAGCTACTATATAGGGTACATAACGTTATTTATGGATGCCCCTATGTCACATAGTATAATGCAAACTACATTATTTTATCATTTTATTTTTTCAATAGTTAATTCCCTGACATGCTATTTATTGGGCATCACATAGTGTTAGAGTTGGTATTTTTATTAGTTGTAGGTGTATATTATTACTGTATGATGTCAGGTAAATAGCCTATCGAGACAATGGCTATCTGAAAATTAGAACATAGTTTTAAAAATTTTTATAAATTATTTAATACATTAATTACCATATAGCATTGCATACAATAGTACTCAAAATTTTTCAAAAATGACAAGATATATTTAATAATACTATATAAAGAAGAGTACTATACAAGAAGTATACTCAAAAGAGGTTTAGTTATGTAAATTAATCATATATATCAGGGTCACTAATTTGAACTATAATAGTACTAAATCTACAATTGAATCTACAATTAAAGCTACAATTGAATAGCACTCTGATACTGTTTAATGAGATTCATTTTTAAGATGCACTATATACAGTGCTGCATTATATAAATTATCTTTATATTTATACTCAAATTTAACATATTCAAATAAGAGATATTAAATAGAAATAAGTGCTACAAGATTATTAGAAATAGATTATTATTTTTAGTAAATTAGAACTAGTAATAAAATGTCAACATTCATAAAGTTGGAGCCCTACTTCTTAGGTTCTTAAATTTGAAATAGAAATTTTTAGCATTGAGTATTAGAATATACATTAATTATAAATATATAAGCATATTTTATAAATTTATATTAATGCATGTGTGAAAGACATAGTTACTAATTTAATAATTTACAAAGAAAATAATCTCTGCTTTTTAGCCAATTCTTACTATAAATATATACTTTAATTTAGACCAAATTTGTAATTTTACTCTAGGCATTATTTTGAGAATTTATGGTATATTCATCTGTTGATGAAATAATCTAAATGTTATTTTGCAAAAAACTTACCACATGAATTTTTTTATTATGTACAGTATGTATATTTTAGATATATAATAATTTTATATACTAATAATTTCAAATATATTTAGAAATTACAATGACTCAAAGCAGAATTCAAATTTTAAAGGAGTCGATAAAGATCTATACAACATAATGTAGAGATCCAAATGTGTTGCTTGTCATATTTGGTCCAAATTTGGCCCTTTAGTGTTGCTTATTTTAGTCTTCAAAGTTATGTATATAAAGCCTTTGAATAGACCTTAATCGGGCTTTCAGACTTCAATTCCTCTTTAATACACTCAGATTCTCCTTTATATATTAGATTTCTAATTCTTTTTGTATTTATTATCTTATATTTTATTTAATAAAATAAGACATATCTTTATACATATTATATAAAAACCTAAATTGATAAGAAAAGATAAGTTTGTTATTATAGACATCATGACAGGAAAAAAAATTTTACATTGTGTTCAAAAGTAATAGAAATATACAACCTCTTGTATCTTCATATATATTAGAGTTGTTATCTTTTTTGTCTAAACTCTATAAATTCTCTTTGATTAGTTGAAGTATTCAACACATTATTAAACTGCTTTATCACTAAGTTTAGAGTCTTTATACTCCAAATATTCATTTCCTGAATTCTGTTAAAAGGTAAATTCTAGACATGACACCAGAATATGAACAAATTTTATTATTCCTTAAACTGTAGAGCAATTCCAGACAAATAGTAGGAATAAAAGAAGGGTTCTAGGACAAAATTACCATATTGTATTTAGAACGACCTCTAACCTCTTTTACAAACTCTTCTAGATATATTTAATCTT